ACCATGTACACTCTATGGCGAGTGTGTTAGCAGGGTGCTTACGCACACGCATGGCCCGGGAGCCACCTGGGTTCAAACCCCAGCAGCAGCAGTTGCATCTCGGATCTTGATAATATAAATTCGGGAGCGGGGCGGGGCGGGGCAGCAGGGCAGCGCGCGCGCGCGTGTGGCGGCCTTAGCCTTGGCGCTTGCGCTTGCGCGCTCGTGGTGGCGCCTCTCTTTTTCGCCTCCTGCACGCGCCGCTTTTTCCCTGCGTTTTCACTTAAAAACGCCCGAAAACTGCAAAAAAAACCGATGTCGGGTTTTGCTGTTTTCCTCAGCTGTACAGCTGTATGGGGTGGTGGGGAGGAGCGGGGAACGTTCCCGCTCCGATACCAATGTAGCGGACCCACCAAGTATGGTGCTCCACTAGTGGTAGAGATGGAGATGGAGGAAGAAGTGGGAGCAAGATGACGCACAGCGCAGCTCCCACGCAGGACTCCAATGCACGTACTCCAGAAATGTGCAAGTGAAGAATGAGGCTGAAAATAGACAATGGCTGGGGTATACCCCAGCGGACTGACAGGACTGGACTGGACTGGCTGGTACCGACAGAGGTACCGGCCTGGACTGGCCTACCCCGAATACAACACAGGCCTGTGAGAACAGGCCAAGGGGCTGGTCTCACAGGCCAACCCGAGGTCCGCTACAGGCGGTATGGTATGCACACCGTGATGAGGTGTGTCCATCCTGGCGGCAACGAAGGCAGTCGCGATGGGCCTCGAGGGCGGCACGCTCCTTAGGGGATAGAGCTTCGCGGGGAGGGACGAAACCGTGCGGGAGGTCTATCAGACGGACCGGAAACGTGTGAGCACCAGCCTGTGCAACCCGAGTGCTCGCATGACCCATGGCTGACATGGCCATCTGCAAGGGCTCGACCATCGGGACAGTGTCGTCATCCAAGTGGTACAAGTTGACATCCCGAAGCTCAATGTCCTCGGGTGCATCCCCAAAGGTAGGGTCGAGTTCAGCTGAGGCGTCCTCGCCGAAAGAATGACTCTCGAGGTCGAGCTGGTCGGCGAAAGTGGCCGACGAAAGAGGATCGACCGTGGGTAGCAGCGAGTGACTAGGTGGTGGCGGCGGTGCATCGTGAAGAAGATAGGGAGTCGGAGAAGCGACTCCGCATCTTCTGGTATTGTCGAGCAGCCTCGTAGACATGCTCTAAGGAGGTGGAGGTCTGTTGCCAAAGCTCGATGCGGTAGTCAGTCAGAAGACTAACGACGAACCATTTGGTCAAGAGGACCTTAGGTAGGAATGCCTCATTGCAAATGAGGTGGGCGTCCTGAAACACCCAGATGTGGCACTCTAGGTCTGCTAGCGCGGAGGATCCGCGCCATTGCGTCTGTGTGACCCGATCTAGGACGTCGGTTGCGTCGTGGACAGTGCCATAGCGGTCGTGAAGGAACGTGTTGAAATCCGCGAGAGTGGGAGCCTCACCCGAGCGAGTACGATGAGTATAATAGTTCTCCCATGCAGAGAACGCGATGCCTCCCAATTTAGTTGCGAGCATAGAGCACCACAACCCGTGACCAGTGTTAGTCAGTGTCAGCGGACGTGTGGCAGCTTGCAGCCAATGTGACACACGAAGTGTACCATCGTAGTTGGGTATATCTAACAAATACACAAGGGTGGGACCGCTGTGATGACGACGAAGGGGGAGAGGTTGATGGGCCTGCACTGTGGCGACAAATGTCGGGGCCGGTGCAGGGGTGGAAGTGGTGGCAGACTGTGAGTCGGGGCTGTTGGTGGAAGGTCCAACACAAGTGGAGGCAACGACCGCATCCAAATGTGACGGAGTGGCGAGGTAGGAGGGTAGAGGGGGAGGAGCCGGTCGAGAGAAACGAGTTGGCAAGACAGAAGTGGGAGGGGCGGTATAAGAAGAAAAGGGGTGAGCAGCCTGTGAAGGGTGAGGCTGTCTCAGGGAGATAAGCTCCACCTGGAGCTGCGCGATGGTGGCTTGCAAGGTAACCACTCGCTGGGTGCGCGGGGTCGGAGGTGGAGGAGGCGGGGAGGGTACCCTAGCGGAAGGAGGAGTAACGAACTGTAGGGAACCCTGAGGTGGGAGCGAGGAGATGATGGGAGGAGGGAG